ATGGACCGTTCTCCCCGGTGAAGACCCGAGAAGCCCCTAGTGGGGCCCTGTAACTTGGGCAGGCAGACAGGAATGTCCTGTTGGTTGGACTCAGCAAAGCCAACTCCCTTCCTTCTGTCACTGCTGAGTCTACATGCACACAGGGGCTTCTGATAAAATGGGGAGTCTCCACTCTCCATCCCATGAGCAAGAACAGCCATGCTGGGGCCCTAGGGCCAGGCTGAGCCTGTTCCTGAGCTCCTCATGAACATGCACTCTGCAGGCAGGAGCAGAGGCCCTGGGAGTTTAGGGGGCAGCTGTCTGCAAGAGACGCACCCATTCCTGCCATCCTGTGCAAAGTGCAGATAAGGGTCAGTGTTAGAGTGTGCTGGAGTGCAACAAGATAGCTGGCACAAGCTTGCCTGGGGGTTGTCCCATACGAGTAAGACTGAGAAGGGCGACCCTAGCCCCTGAGTCCTGGACAGGTTTGCCTGCTGGGCCCCAACCAGCATGCGCAATAGGAGAAGCGTGTGTATCGTTAATGGGAGGGGCTTTCTGGCTGCTCAGAAACAGCAGACGGTATCACAAATGGTCATCAGGAACTACTGCTGAGGGGCTGGCATTGCTGTGGTAGAGTGAAACCAACATGGGAGTGCTGGCTCATCACCCACCACTCGGATTCTAACCCAGCTCTCCACTAATGATGGCCCTGGAAGGCTGAAGAACATGGCCCAAGGGCGTGAGTCTCTGCCCGCACGCAGAGACCTAGGTGTTCCTGCCTCTTGGCTTCAGTCTTCCCAGCACTGTCTCTTGCCATTGGGAGAGTAAACCAGTAGACAGAAGACCTCTACCTTTCTCTTTCAATTCTCTCTATATCCCTCTCTCGCATTCCTTCAGATAAATACAACTTTATAAAATTATGGCGTGGAAGTGGTAAGGATGAGGATGTCTACGAAGGAGATAGAGCAGGGGTCCTGGAGCCAGGCGAGTGACAGGCACTCTCCTGGGCCTAGGGCTTCTCTGGGAAGTGGAAGTGGCAGTGACCCTCAGACTATCCAGGGGGCATGTGGAGGAATCTCATCATGCTGTGGATGGAATCCAGTGTCAGTGGGCTGGGCTCCACCCTTGCCAGAGGGAGTGAACAACCGTCTCTGTCACGGTCGATTTGTGCACAGAGAATGTGTGGAAGAATGTGCAGAAACCAAAATTGATGGCTGCTGAGGGCAAGAGGCAGCCTTCCTGCAGAAGACGGGATTATCTAATGATCAGAAGGAAACTCCAGGTCAAGAGGAGGCGGGAATGGTGGGAGTGTCGGGGAGGGTGTTTTGGACTAGGACTCAGTGCTGCAGGGGCAGTGTTTTCCGGGCCTCTTGGGTGTGTTCTCCGAGTCGGCTTTGGGCTATCTGCCCACCCCCGTTGACTCTCTGCTGGCCTCTGGATGGACTCTGGGTTCTGGCCTGGGAGCTGCCCTCTTTGGATCAGTGTGACGAGGTGATGTGGCCTTTGGAGCAGCTGTTGGTGTCAGAATCAGCTCACCTGTACAATCACTTCAAGGTGGCTTGTTCAGTACGTCTCTGTGCGGGGCACTGGTGACAGGCAGGTGAGGGGAAGCGAACTGGGGAAGGGGACGCACACAGGAATCTTCCAAGTTTCCCAGTGCTCCTGGGCAGGGTAGATGGTTTCTGGAGTTTGGGGGAAGTCATTTGTTTGCATGGGAATATGAAAACAAGACATTGGAAGGCAAACAGGTGTGGGGATGAGGGTGGTGGCTTCCCCTCAAAGCAAGACACAGTCAGCTGTGACAGGTGAGGGTGGGTAGGCAGGCAGGCTGCAGGGGTGGAGCGCAGGAGGGTGGCATCCCAGTGTGAGGCAGGCCTGCAGGCCAAGGCGGAGTGGAGGGCGGCATCCCAGTGTGGGGCAGGCCTGACCCTAGTAGACGGAGACCCAGCAAGCAGTGGTAGAACTGAGGGCACTCAGGCTAGTGTGGGCGTCCCGGGCAGGGTCTTCCCTGCACCCACGCACAGGGCAGCGCATGTCCCTCTCACTAAGCTGGAGGAGGGTGGGAATGGCTGCCCGTGCGTGTGCAAAAGCACACACAGGTGCACACGGAGCTGCTGAGGTGAACGTGCACATGGGCCGGGCTTCTCTGACCCTTTCTTCCAACAACCACCTCCTAACCCATGGTGGCCGGGAGAGAGTCTTTGTTCCCACTGATAGATGGGGAAACTGAGGCTCCTTCCCAAAGCTGGCAGCTGCTGGAGACAGACTCAAAGTCAGACCGTATTCCTCGCTCTAGCTCAGCACGCAGCCAGGGCACTTCATGGGCCCTCGGGGCCGCTGCCCCCTCCTGCACTGGAGCAGCTGACAGGAAACGCTGAATGGCCACAGGCAGTCGCTTCCCACTGCCCAGAGTGACCGGACATCCTAGGCCGGGCCTCGCGCGGCACAGGACAAGTGCACTCTCCAAAGCAACATGTTTTCCCATCGCTTTGGCACAGGTAACAAGTTCACAGTGTGGGTGGGACTGGGGACAGCTGAGCGTTTCGCAGATCTTTCAAGGACAACAGAAACAGTGGGGTGACACTTAAGAGAGCAGTTTCTTGGCATCTACTAAGATTTTAGATGCAGAAGCTTTGTTTCCCAGAAATTGAACCATGAGATTTGGGAATTTACCCTGGAAGTACACAAACACATGAGTTAAAATCCAGTTGACAAGGATTGCCCTGGCAGCGCTGCATTGGCATGAAAAAAGAAAAATCAACTAAATTTGATTTACAACCCACATTGGCAGGGGAGCTGGTTGCATAAGAGTCCCTTCATTTGTACTCTCATCTAATTCTGACTGCAGACCTGTGATCCACAGCAAAACCCTGCTGCCAAGGCCTGACCTCTGAGCTGCATTCCAGGGACTGTGGCGGTGGGTCACCCTCCCACATGACAGTGTCAAATGGCAGCTGAGCGGCTCCCCTTCCAGTCCAGCTCCCTGCTAAGCAGGCTAGGAAAGCAGCGACAGATGGCCGAGTGCTTAGGGCCCTGCACCATGGGAGGCGTGGATGGAGCTGTGTGCAGCCAGACTTTGGCTTGGCCCAGCCTGATTGGTGCAAGTGTACTGTCTGGTGGAAATCAGTGGATGGAAGCTCCCTGTCTCTGTCATTCTGTGTGTTAAACCAATACATAAACCCTCTTATCTAAGAAAAAAAAATGTCGATTTTGGTGCTGTTGAAACCCATGCCTAGTTTTTCCTGCACATTTTTCATGAACTTTGTCACCCAGAGCCAGGCTGGCTGGGCATCGTCCACCTCTCTCCGCTGCGGAGCGGGCTTTGTTACCTTCGGTAGAAGGGCTTATGCCTTCCAGCTGCAAACTCAGAGCACCTCTTACCCAGCACTCCTGCTTCCCAGCAGACCTTGCAAGTCCCCAGAAATGCTTGCCCAACCTTAGCCCCCCTTGGAAAGCTCCGGCCGTCAGAGCATGCCAGCACCATGTGACTCTCAACACCACCGATATCTGGGGGGGATTGAGCAACGGCTGAGATAGAATTTCACTTGGCACGGAATGCAGCTCCCTTTGCTCCTGCCAGAGGCAGCGAGTGCTATATAAAGCAGTTCAAGCAGCCCTCTCCCTGCCAGCTGAGGGCAAGACAACCGACGGCCAAGCCGGCACCGCAGCACGCACATCTCCATGCGGCCCTCTGGATCTGAGCAGAAGCTATGTCAACACACCCAGACAGGGTGTAGACACATCCTGCCACAGCTAGCAGAAGGAGCGCCCGCGCGGCTCGCCCACAGCCGGCATCCTGCCGTAAATCACACGGAGGAGGCTGGTCCCACATGGCGTGAGAGCTGGGCCTGCACCCTCACCAGAGCGGAAGGGAGGTGCCACAGCTGTCAGCCAGGGACTGAAAGCGGCAGGGACGAGCCAGCCCTTCCAGACATGGGAAAGAATGCAGGCTGCACTTCCCTAGGGCCTCGGGGACCACAGCGCCTTCTGTCTTCTCACCCGGCACCGCCTCACCCCCACATCCTCCTCCCCCAGACACACATGTAAACACACCAGCACACGTGAACTCAGCGACCCACAGTCCCTCGCAGAAGGCACAAAGGGGTCAGATATTTGCGGAGACTCCGTGTGCAGCCCTGCCGGAGCCCAGCCACCTTCTCTGCTCCCACAGCCCTGCATCCCACGCGCAGTGCGACTCAAGCCCACACATAGCCACCCGCTATGCGCACATCTGTCCAGCAAGCCAGGCCCAGGCAAGAACTCTCCAGCACTTCCATTTCAAGGTTTAACAGAGTTTGTGTCTCAGCTCATACTCAATTCCTACTAAAACAATGCCAACACACTATCTAACCTTTAGTGAGAGAACCTAGCTAGGGTGAGAAATAAAAAGGAGAAACATCAGTTAAAAAAAATAATAAATTCTTAGTTTGCAACCCTCCAGGACCAACGGCAGAGGAGGGGGGAAGGTCCAGCCAGAGGCGGATGACTTCCTGCCAGCAAGAAAACGTGCTGGCTCTCAGGGCAAAGAAAAAGGCACGAGCAAGGGAGGTGCGGCCCCGGCCGGGCCAGCCTAGCGGCTCTCCGCGCCGCGCCACTCTGCACCCAGGGAGGCGCGCGGAGCAGCGGTTTCCGCTGCCCTGGAGTTGACCCAGGGGCCGTGCCACGCGGGGCTGCGGCAGAGAAAGCAACTTCTTGTTCTGCCCGTGCGCCTCTTGGCCTAACGGGGCCACCGCGGTTGTCCGCCTAACGGGCCAGGGCCAGGGCCCCGGGGCTTCTCAAGTTTCCCGCCCGGAGAAACAAAGTGAGCAGGGGCGCGCTCAGGGCTGGCGGGCTGACTGGCGCGCTGCCGGACTCCCCGGGCGCAGAATCCGCGCTTCGGGTGCCGGGATGGGGCCGGGGGCCGGGGGCCGGGAGGGCTGCCGGGTGCTGCAGCAAGCTCGGGGCTCACCCACCGACTGGCAGCATCTGCTTGGCGCGGACTCCTTTGGGCCGCCAGGCCCCTGCCCGGGGCGGGTACTCACCTTGGCGCGGGGGCTCCGGGGTGTCCACGAGGCCGCTCATCGTCGCAGTCTGGCCCCGGGCCGGCCTCGGGCGCAGGCCAAGTGCACAGGAGCGGGCACGGGCGGCGGGCGGCGGGCGGCGCGGGCTCCGGACCCTAGGCAGCCGGGAGGGCGCGGCGCTGGGTCACGGTCCCGGGCGCGCCCCGAGGGGAGGGGCTCCGGGCCGGAGATAGGCAAACTTCACTGAGGGCTTTTTTTTCCTGCCGACTTGGCCTTGTGGGGCTTTTCTCTCTCTCTCTCTCTCTTAATCATACATACACCAGCCCATTTCTGAACTCAGACTGTAGTTTCAGTTTCCATGTGACTACTAGATATGGAGCCTGGGCTGAGAATTCCCGTCCCCCGCCCCTCCCCCAACTGTCAGCTTAAAAACTCCCCGGAGGAAAACAGTAATGTCGGGCCGGGACCTGCCTTTTGGCCACCTAATAAGAGGTAGACCCACTTTGGATCTGAGCTGACTGCTGCGCACTGGACAACCCCTGGCCTGGTTATGCTAATATTAGGGAAAGATTATTAGGGAGAAGCGACACATTGCCTCTGGTTCCCAGACTCAGTGGGGTTTATGGAGAATCGGCTCTACTCACACAGCGCAAACTTGGCCACAGCTTCCAGGGCGGTTGCTGAAACGCAGGCCCCCTGTAACTTCCTCTTTCCCAGGGAGGACAAAGGAGGGACACCATGTTTGAAATCCCAGCCCCTGCGGATGTCTCATGTCTGCTGTCTGAGGGTTTTGTGCTGCTTCTTTTCCAAAACTGTTTAGGAGACCAGAGATGTGGGCTCGTGTTGGGATCCCAAGCGCCGCCCTTCCAATGCAGCTCCCTGCTGGGGCTCCGGCACCCACTTAGGAAACCTGCTGAAGCTCCTGCCTGCTGCTGCTCTCTTTCTCTGCCCATCTTTCCCTCTTCCTCTGTAACTCTTTCAAACACATAAATTAATCTTTCAAATATTTACTTACTTGTTTAAAATACAGAAGGACACACAGAACTGCCACCTGTGGAGTCACTCTGCAGATGCCTTCAGTGGCTCCCAGGGCAGAGCCAGGAGCCAGGAACACAGTCAGGTCTCCCATGCCAGTGTCCAAAGCACGGCTCTGGCTTCCTCCTCTCTCTGCCTTAGACGCTGCCTCAGCCCGTGAGCTGTGCCGTTCCGGCTGTCTGCACCGTGCATGTGTCCCACCCCCATGCAGAATACAAAGCAAGGCTGGCCCGAGAAGGTGCCCAAGCAGAGGCCTTGCCCACTTCCCGCTGGCTGTGACTCCACGCGTTGCTGTGTGCACTAATTTCCTGATCCCTAGGGAAGGCGTTCTGGTGCACCCTAGATCATGAGAAGGCCTTGCTACTTATAGATCTCATGCATTCACATTGCGCATGCACACAAAGACTTCATAAAGCCGTTGGCAGGATTGCCTCTGGTCAGGTGTGCAACCTTGGGATTCTGTGTCTTAGTTTCCTCTATTGTAAAAAGATGATCAGAATGCCGGCATTCCAGAATTGTGACATCGTATATGTCCAGAATGTGTGACCCGTATATGTCCATGTTGGACAGTAGTAGCCTTGGATCCAGAGAAGGTGACTTTAATGGCCTGAAGTGCAGCCGGCGAGCAGGAAGACAGCACACAGTTCCACCAGACCAAAGGACAAGGTCCCCTGGGAGTATGTGTGCCCTGTATGTAGGAGGACCCCTTAGTGTCCCCGGCCTTCTAGGATCACTTGGGGCAGGTTACAAGCACAAGAATGTGAAAAAGATTTTTTAGGAAAGCTAAAATGAGTGTCATGAACACGATAAAGGAGAGGGGCAGCCTGGTAATCACAGTGTTCCCAAGTCCAACACTGCCTTCCACATTCAGGTAGATTCAGCTAGCATTTGTTATGCTGCTTGAGGCATTGCAGTCTCAGTTGTAACAGAAGAGGGGCTGCCCCGCTGCTAGGAGACAGCCGAGGTCAGGTCTGCTTTAGTCCCTGCTCAGTGGCGCACTGGTTGGGTGGGGTAGCCCTCAGCATCTGACGTCAAGCTTCTGCAAAGCTGGGCTGCTGTGACTCATCCACTGCATGGTTAACAGTGCCGGAGATTGTTGCAGTGTTTTTTCAGGTCGAGTTACAGGGGACGTGGGGAAGGGGTCTTCTGTCTGCTGGCTCACTCCTCTAATGGCTGCAACAGCTGGACCTGGGCTGGAGCAAAGCCAGCATCCAGGAGCTTGCTGCAGAGTTGTGGGCATTTGGACCATTGCTGACTGTTTTCCCTGGAGCTGGATCAGAAGCAGAGCATCCAGGGTGTGAACTGGCACCCATTTTGAATGCTGGCATCACAGGCTGTGTCTTTATTCACTCCACCATTCCTCTGGCACAATAAACAACTTCTAAAGGAACAGCAGGATGGTGCAATGAGTTAAGCTGCTGCCTGCAATGCTGCCGTCCCGCATGTGCCCAAGTGTAAATACTGGATGCTCTGCTACTGATGCAGATCTTTGCTAGTGTAGCTAGAAAAGCATCAGTGATCCAAGTACTAGGGCTCCTGCTGCACTGGTGGGAAATCAGGATAAAATTCGGCCTCCTGGCTTTAGTCTGGCCCAGCAACAGATGTGCCAATTTGAGGAGTGAACCAATACATGGAAGATACAATTTTCCAGCCCCTCTTGTAAGTCTGCCTTTTCTTTTTTAAACAAAAAGAGGATGTATTGACATCCATAGCTTTTCTGCTTTGCCTTTGTTCCACTGGCACAACAATATAGTTTGTTGTAAATGTTTGGCAGGTTGGTGGCATTTAAGAGGCCCTAATTTTGGCTATGTATATTTTAAGAAGGGAAAGAAAAAAAAAAGGATGTTGCACCGTTCATGTAGTTTCAATCTCCTCGTTGTGATGGACAGGGTAGAGATTGGCAAGCAGGCGCACAAAAGGCAGCCAGACAGGCAGAGAGAGGTCTTCACACCTCAGCCCTCCCTGGGGAGAGCACCCCTCCCCTGCCAGAACAGTCCTTCTCACAAGAATCCTTTGCAGGAGGGTTACAAACTTACAAGCTCAGAGGGCCCTGGCTGGGACTGAGTACTGCACTCTGTTACTAGGGTTGCTAAAGGCTGGCTCTGACAGCAAAGGCAAATGGGAAACCACCCATGTGTCAGATGGAGCTGTGTGTGATCCTGAGGGTTGGTAAAGGCCAGTTCTGACAGCACAAGGCAGAGGGGATAGCACCCATGTGTCAGATGGAGCTGTGTGTTCCTGGAGGTTGGTAAAGGCTGACTCTGACAGCACCCGTGTGTCAGATGGAGCTGTGGGTTCCTGGAGGTTGGTAAAGGCTGATTCTGACAGCACCCATGTGTCAGATGGAGCTGTGGGACGCACAGCAGTTTTCCAGCCATAGTGACCCAGCTGGGCATCCAGGATGGCCATTTGTCCTGACAGCACCTTCAGGAGAAATGCAGCAACAGAGACTTGGTGAGACCAGGTGATCTATCTGGGAGGGTCTCATCTGCTGGGCTCACTTATAAAGGACAGACCGTGGGACTCGTAATGGGCTGCAGTCTGCTGGCATTCCATGCAGGCCCCACTTTGAGTTCCATCTTCTCCACTTCGGATTAAGCCTCTTGCTAACATCCCTGGGACATCCTTGGGCCCCTGCAGCATGCGGAAGATCAAGATTGGCTCAAGGCCTGTCTGACGTAGCTCTGGCTCATGCAGCCTTCTAGAGAGTGTTTGGTGAAGGGCTGAGAAAAAGTGAAAAGATTCAGACAAGGGAAACAGGGGAGGAAAGTGCACAGAGAAGTGCGGATCTCTGGCAGAAACACCAGGAAAAGCAGAAGACAAAGGGGTCAGCCTGGTGGCTCAGACACTCTGTGGTTGGGTAACATCTAATGAGAAGTGCCTTGTAGCAAACACAGGCTTACACAGACAGCGGTAACTTCCTGGAGGGCCTAGGCTGTGCCCTCCCTTTCATGGGCACCATCAACCGCAACAGTGGGTGATGCTTGGTTTCACTTTGTTTCTCCTTTTCCTTCTTCTTTACACAAAGAGATAACAAGACCATAGAGGGGAGGCAATGGCTCACTTCCCCATGACCTGAGCTGAACCCCCTGCAGGACTGTCTACAGACACCGCCCTTCCATGGACTGAGCTGGACCACCAGCAGGTCTGTCTAGAGAGAAGTCTGCGGTGAAAGAAGCATGGCACCAATTTGCTGTCCCAGCCTGGCACTCCCCAATGTCCCTGTGAATTGCTGGTGTCACTGGGGTGTGCTGGATGCTCAGGACAGGCAGCCATGAGGCAGGGAACCTCTCCACAAGCTCTGAAAACTCACATGCGGAATGAGGAAGTGATGAGGAAGTGGAGGGCCCACTTTCAGGAGGGCCCACTTTCAGGCCCCCACCCTCTGGGCCCAACCGCTGATGTGAAACAGAAATCAACACGTGCAGCTGCACCTGCTCGGCTGCAGTGCTGGGCCCTCCACGGGGAGGAGGTGCCTTCTCTTACACCGCTTGTTGCGGTTTGTTCTTGCTTCAGCTAACAGGAGGGATGTTTTCTGAGTAAAAGGGCAATAGGAATTGTGTCTCTTGACAGATTTCATTATGAGTTTTATATAAATTAGCTCTTTGAATTCCTAGAACTGTGTGGTATGTGAGCACACGTCGGGACCTAGGAGGTGGCCAGTGTGGTCTCTCAGTCATGACTCACTGGTCACCAATTCACTAAGTGACTTTGCTTCCAAGCAAGTGAATAACACTCAAGTTGAATGTGCTCAAAATGGTCTGTAGACATCTCTTGGGAGAAAAAAAGGGAAATTATCATGTAACCAGTGGGTGTTGTGTGCAGCCAGTTACATTGCACTTGGCATGCCTCTGTTCCTTACGGGAGAGCTGGACAGAATCCTCGAGACTCTGCTCCAAATCAACTTCCTATTGCATCCAGAGAGGGAGCAGGGGACAGTGCAAGAGCGTGGGCTCCCGTGGCCTGTGTGGGAGAGCAGTGTGGACTCAGCTTCTTCCTAATGTGTCCAGGGAGACAGCGGGGCATGGTGCATGCAAGAGCGTGGGCTCCCGTGGCCTGTGTGGGAGAGCAGCGTGGACTCAGCTTCTTCCTAATGTGTCCAGGGAGACAGAAGAGCGTGGGCTCCTGTGGCCTGTGTGGGAGAGCAGCATGGACACCAGGGATCCTGTATTAGGCCGGGTCCAACCCAGCTGGTATGTGGGAGTGAAACAACAGATGCAAATGCTCTGTCTCTATTTTTCTGTCTCCATCACTCTGCCTGCCAAGTGGAGGAAAATAAACATCTTTAAAACTGATAAAGTCATGCAAAAGAACTAAAAGAGTAAGATGTGTAAACTACATGTGAGAATGGTCACACCAGACCACGGGGGCATGGTAACTATTGACTGTATTACTGTCATGTACAAGCTGAGGGATTGGACTCAGGGAAGTAGACTTGGCTTGTTTTGTA